TCTTTTAAAAAATAAAATAAAAGACCCATTCCCACAGTGAAACTACATTGTAGAATGCATGATCAGGGACCATCTGCCATGTCTTCATGAACCACTGGTTGAAAACCCCCGACCCACTTAAAGATTCAGCTTCAAACTTAGGTTGTACAAAGTGTTTTCTGAGTGCATCCAAAGGCAAATGTGTTTACACCTGTTCCAGAAGGTAAAAAGCCTGGTGTCATAAATAGTGGTGAGACTCAATGAATTATGCAAATGGGGATAACAGTGGACAGTCTCTCTTCAGAGCAATCATAGTGTTGCACTGGCTTGTGCATACCGTATCCCAAGACTAATTAGTCTCTAAAGTCATGATAGTACCTTTGTAAAGCTTTGCTTACTCTAGGTGTGAGTTAACATCAGCAAGCTAACATGCTCACAATGACAAGGTTAATATCCTGATGTATAATGTTTAGCATGTTCACCATCTAGATGTGAGCACTCTAACCACAAAGTACAGCTGAGGCTGATAGAGTTGTCAGGAGTTTAGCAGGTGCAGTGTTTGGTCATAAAGCAAACATCACTGAACACTTTGCCTTTATGACGGTGCAAAATAAATAAAGTCAGATCACCAAAGTGATTACAATGCATCCTGAGAGGAACATGAATGTAGCTAATTTCATGGGAATTCACTCAAGAGCACAGACGTTGATCTCTTGGTGGCACCAGAGTAAAAATCAGGGGATCACCAAAGTCTACAGTATCTTTCTAACAGCAACCACAAATGTATAAAAACTCCTTCCTCAGAAAGTTGTGTTCTTCCTTTATCGCCTGTTGAGTGGACTAACTCTCTGGGCACTGGCATCTGAAAAGCATCTCTTTTACAGCATATTTACAGCTCAGCAGCCAGGGTCATAGAGAGAACAAAAACAAGGCCATTTCTCTGACATCCTTGTACAGGATAACTACCGCTTTTGAATTAATGACATTTTTACTGAGTATTTTTAAAGTCTGGAACAGCCAAGTCAGAGTTGTGTGTGTGTGTGGTCTTTTTGTGGTCATGCCCCCCCCCCCCTTGCTCCTTGAAATCCTCAGATGCTTGTCTTCTTGTTATCCAGAGACATAGACCTCAGTGTTCTACACTAGAACACAGGGGAAACAGAGCCTTTGTTGTCAGGGCTCCTCCACTTCAGAATGACTCGTGTGATAAGCAGGGCTGCTTCTTTTTAAAAGCCACTTTTAAAAATGTGTTCGCAAACTGTTTTTTGTCTTATCTGTTGTAAAATTACATCTTGTACAATTATGGCTATAAAACTACAGACACACCAAATGTCCACAACAATATCCATTTTCAATTGTAGTGAAGCTGGACGTTCATGAGTTTTGTGAGCGCTCCAGTTGGGGGGGGGGGGGGGGGGGGC